CCACCCAGGACTTCAGCAAGCTGCTCAGCTCGGTGAAAGAAATCAGCGACATTGTTCAGAGGTAGCAAGAAACCAGGCTGAAAAACAAACAAGTGAATCAATCAATCAGTCACAATGGGCCAAAGCCAGCTGTGGAGAGAGTAACGTGTGGACTGACAAAGGAGGAGCGGGCGTTGGGTGGGGGCTGTGCCAAGGACGCAGACTGTGAATGGACACCCCAGCTCCCAAGGGCAGGGCTGGGTTCAGGAGGCACTTCCCACCCTCTGAACTCAGATTCCCTGTGTTTCATATACTTGTAATCGTCTTATCTGTGGAGTTCTTGCCTTGTGGACTACAAGTCTAAATGCTGATGTCACACCATGCCTTTTTATTAATATTTTATTGTTCTGGACTGTTGAGACTGAAGCCAGACTGGTGGACATTGAGTCCTCCTCAGGAGGACTTTGTACTGCATTTTTTTCCCCCCCCCCCCCCCGCCCTCCTGTACACGAGGATAAGTGTTTGGAAGCAATATACCTACTGCATTTCTTGGGAGAGTTTGCCCAGTACATGGCCCTGGACCAAGTCTGACATTTACCTGGCACTAATGCAATAGATTTGGTGCTTGGGAGGGAAGGGGGGAAAATTATTCATGTAAGGTTTTTTTAATGACAGGATGCTACAAGTGATGGTTGCCCAAATTCTTCCTCTGATTCCACCTGCTACCCTTCGTTTGTGTTTCAGTAGTTTCTCAGTGTTGTTGAGCTCCAGTGAATTGCTTGGGCTCTCAGTGTTGGAGGCTGATGTCACAGCCCGGGAGCCTGTTTGTTTGTGGATCTCCCTCGGGAGCAGAACAGGGCTGGAGAAGGTCTGGAGGAGGATGTAGCACTCTGGTGATGTCTGACACTGATCAGGCTGGTCTTTGGGGTGGGGGTAGCAGAGCTTGGGCAGGTGGGAGGATGGCAGTGGGAAGAGATGGCTCGGGGTGAGTTCTGAGGCACCACTGTGCCTCCAGCAGCTCTCCTGGCTGAGCCTGCACATCGCAGTGGGTGAGAGCTGCTGTGTCTCCAGTTGGATTTCCAGCTGTTTGTTTTGTGAAGGGAGATGGAGCCTGGCCCCTGCCCTCCTGCAGAGCTCTGGGGGGTGTGGTGCCTGCCTTTCGTGCCGCTGGAACTCCCTGAGAGGAGCTCCAGTGCCAGCATTCCTACCTTCGTGCCAGCATGGTTCCATCCAGCATCAAACCAGGATCTGTGCAGACTGCAGACACTTCTCTGGGCTGCATCTCCCGAGGAAACTGCCACAACACAGTGACAGCAAATCTCCTGGCCCTCCTTGCCAAGATCCTGTGACCTTCTCAATTAATGCTGGGAACTAATTGTGACTCGTGAGGATAGTGAAAGAACAAGGTTTAGGGCTATTAACAGTGCAATTTAACTCCTCTTAACAGTTCCAACCATGAGAAAAACACATTTCCCGTTTTCTCTTCCCCTGTAACTCGTGACCCCTCTTGTGTATCTTAAACACTAATTGCCTTCAATTGTATTTTATGCTGTTCTCTTTGGAACTGTTTGTTTTGTATATGATTTCTAGTAGTTCACTCGTGTGTGTTCATGCCACTTCTCGCCCTCACAAACAGCCATGACTTAACATGTGACAAATGTTCAAAAGAAAATACACACTTCTGCCACAGGCTGCCTTTAAAAATGTAAGAAAAAACCCAACCCTTGAATTGTCTCTTTCCTGGAGGTACTGTTTTTACTTTGATAACATATTGTGCCACTATATTATACATTTGTATCTTGTTATTACACACTTTTGTAGACTTGTCTTTTTTACAGTGTGTAAATAGCTCTGTCCTTCATCTCTGTGATACTTAAGGGGGTCGTTTCCCCTTTAATTTAGTCCAGTACAGATTGTTTCTGTACATGACTTCCAATTCTTCTCTCTTTCTCTATTTCCATTTTTTTGATTTGTTTTTTATTCCAGTCTCTCTTGCGTAGTATATTTAAAAATAAATCAATGTTGAGGAAAACTCTTGTTTGTCTGTCAGTGAGGCTTTTCCAACCCAGTTGACTCCTCATCCAAAAGCAGGAGTTCCCTGTTTGGGAACCTTCATTGTGACCCTTCAGCACAGTGGGATGGTCAGAGCCAGGCCAGCAGCCCCTTCCCATGTTCCTTTGATCTGGCTCTGAAAAGTCAGGAGAGAAAAGAGATGCACAGAGTGTCATCACCCCTCTGAATCAAAGATTTGCTGTTGTCTTCAAGGAGATTTATATCAGAGATCTGACTAAACTTTTCCTCTGTTAATGGTTTGTATTCTGTAATTCAGCTGCTGTTGTGTTTTCCTCCTCCTCCTCCTCTGCTGTGAAATGACCCATGAGTTTCTCTCCTCATTCAGTTCCCTCTGTCATTTCTGGTTGCTTATTCTTGTTTTCTGTTTCTCTTCAGCCTTTCTAGTAAAACTTGAGGGAGGGACATTTCCAGGTACTGAGCAGCCTCTAAAACCAGCCACTGCTAAAGACTAAAAAGGGATGCCAAGGGAACAAGGGCAGGTGCCAGTGTGGTGTGCCTGAGCTCCCACGGTTCCACAATGATGTTTTAGGGTTGTAACCCAGTTCTCTGCATTTCTGATCCCCTCAGGAAGTCCCTGGTGAAATCTGTGGGTCCTGGCACCGGGATCTGGGCTGGGGGAGCCTTGGCCTGCTGTGACAGTGTCTGCATTGGGCTGCTGGTGAGGCTGAGGAAGGAGAAGCAGGAGGATGCACTGGTGAAAATAAAATTAATGCTCTGGGCAAGGCACAGGCTCAGCAGAGGGGTCTGCAGTGAGCAGAGCTGCAGCACTCTGCCAGTCCTGGGTGGGACTGAGACCAACCCTGGCAAAGGTCATGTCCACACTCGGATATGGTGAGTAGCTGTGGCCTGAGGGAAGATGGAGAAGCTTCCCTGCCCCTAAATGCTCTCACTCCTGGTGGTTTCCATCCCTGCTGGCTTAGGGACGGGTCCATGGTGTCGTGGGAAGGTCGTGGTTGACCTGGCTGGGGAAAGCCCCTGGATCTTTGGTGCTGGGAGTGAGAGAGAGGGGATTAAAGGCTAAATTTAGCTGAGTACAGTAGGAGTTGATTTAACAGATCGATGCATTTAACAGTTTGATTGCTCCAATTTTCAAGGCTATTGAGTTTGAAAGTGAGAGTACTCTGGGGGAAAAATAGCTGTGTTTGTGGTTTTGTTTTGGTTTTCGTGTCTTTGAAATTACAATGTTCACTCTTTTAAGTTTTCTTTAATGTCATCCTGCTTTTTGTTGAGAAGTTGCTTGTCACGAGATGTAAAATGCCGTCAGTGTTTTATGCTCACTCTTTTTCTTACAAAGTCTGTGTCAGCCTGGCTGGGCCAGTGGTGGTTTCAGGTGTGCCAGACCACTGCCTGTCCCCCAGCATGGTCAGGGACAGCCCACAGCCTCTCCCTTGGCTGACATTCATCCTTCCACAACTGGAAATGGAGGGAAATGCACCTAAGCACGGTGTCATCTCTGAGGAGAGGGTTCCTGTCACACCTGTGCCCCTAAAAGCAGGCTGGCAGCAGAGTGGGACGCACTCCCTGGCCGAGGGTGAGACCTGGCCTGGGTGGGCTGCTGAGAATGATGCTCCTGGCTCAATTCCTGGTCTGTCCTGATGCCTTGGCAGTGCCAATGTCCCTAGAGCTGTGGGTGAGGGACAGCCCTCAGTCATTTCAGTGTTGAGGCTGAGCTCAGAGCTGTCCCCCCTGGCGGTGCTGCTCCAGTAGATCCAGCTCAGCACAAAGCTGACCCACAAACCAGACCGTGCTGAGCGTTTTCCCAGAAATCACCCCCTTGTTGAGGGTTCTGTGTTTGTCCTGGCATCTCTTCTGCTGCAAAGGTCCCACCTGTGCTCCTGCAGCCTGCATGACCCAGTTATGACACACAGAGCCCCTTCATGAGTCCCTGGGATGCCATTAACCCAGGCTCTTCCTCTGCACAGGCTGCTTGGGGTTTCTGGGGTTTGCTGTTCCTGCTGTGTGTGTTTGTAGTGCTGGAGGAGCAGAAGGGGCAGCCCATGGGAGTGGAGCAGAGGAGCAGAGGCCATGGGAGGGGACTGGGTGGCTCATGGACAGGCCCAGCAGTGGTGGCAATGCCTGCACTGCTGCTCGGTCCACTGGCCACGTGTAGAGGAATCCAGGGCCTGTTTGATCCAACTCCTTATGGATTGGTGGGTGGCTGGGCTTGAGCTCTCCACCTCTCAGAGATGTTCAGGAACTGGGTGTCCTCGGGAGCTGCTTCCCTCCATCAGGAGGAGAGGAACTGGGCAGGGGTGTAGCTGCCTGTGGGAGCTGGGTAGGAGATAGCGTGTCCAGTGTGCAGGGGTGGGTTTTGCAGCCCCTCAGGGGTCATTCTTGGCATGTTCCCCCTCCTTCCTCCCAGCCACACCCCTGGGCTCTGGGCAGTTATTTTCCATTCACTTTTACCTCCCCTCCCCAGCATTAATCGCTAAGGAGCAGTAATCCAGAGCCTGGAATGCTGCCTCTTCCCAGGTGTGCTCAGGGGAGTTCAGGGATGCCACAGCCCCTCACCTGCCCCATGTCACAGCCTGGCAGAGGGTGAGGAGGGTGATGGCATTGCCCTGCTGGCACCAAGCTGCCCATCAAGGTGCCCTGAGGCGTGGGGGCTGCGCCCAACTCTGTCTCACCTGCCAGGTAAGTGCTTCAATTTTCAGTGAGTTCTACAGAGCCTATTGCACATCAATCAAAGCCTCATTATGTGAGAGCTTTTATGAGGCTGTTCTGAGCCTGTTCCTCTCCGGGACTCGAGTGCAGGAGCCCAGGCATCCCCGCAGCCCCAGCACTGCCCAGCAGGTTTCCTTTCCCTTCCCACAGCACTCAGTGCCACTTTCCCCTGCAATGATCCATCACGGCAAAGCCGGGGATTTACTGGCCCTCGCTAACCCAGAGTTTCTCCAAAACTCTCCCCCCTTGCATCCCTCCCCCCGACTCCAGGGCAGGGTAAAATTGATCAGTGCGTGTTTATTGATGGTTTGAACACTCCGAAGAAGGGGGTAGGGGGATGTCGTTGCCATGGAAACATCGATAAAGCTCCGTCTGCGCTGTGTGATGCCAGCGCGGCGCCTGCGTCCCGCTCCAAACAGGGGGGCCTTTGGTGGGGCAGGGCTGGGGAGGGATGGAGAAGGGTTTGGGGGTGCCTGGGGTGCGGGTCTGTGCGGGCTCAGCCGTCCTGCTGTGCTCAGTGTGAGATGCTCAGGGCTGCAGGGAAGGAAATGCTGCTCCTCACCTTGGCACCATCGCTGTCCTCTCCCCAGGGCCAAACCCTGGTGCTCTCCGTGTCCCTGCAGACCTGATGATGGTCCTGTGCCTCCATTGCTCCCTGCACCTGCTGCCCCACCACTGTTTTCCCCTGGGTTCCAGCTCCTCCATTCAGCCAGTCACTGCTCCTGCTGCCAGAACGGCTCACGCAGCACTGCATTAAGTGGTCTGTCTGCTTGATGGATATTACAATGCACCTCTTGCAGCCTGATTTAGGTTTCTTTAAAATCTTTTTACTCCCCCAACCAAGTTCTGCCACGGTCTCTGATTTTTGAGGGCGCAATTCAGCACTTGCAAATCATCTCCAGGCTCATTTTTGTGCCTACAATGAAATATCAGCAGTGGCTCAGTGTGTAAGTTGCCGTTAGTGCCTGCAGCAGGTAGTTAGAGCTCTGATTGCTGGTACCTCTGGCAGGCACAGAGAAAACACTGGGATTGGCAGAGCTAAATCTGCCCAAAAGAGGGGAGGGCAGTGGCTGGGCAGTGGGGCTCTTTCTGTGCTGGCTTTTGGGGCTGATGGCTCCAAAGCCTGGAGCACCAGTGACACTGAGCACCTCTCAGTGGTCCTGGTGGGTGCAGAAGTTCTTGTTTCAGTCCTTCTGCACCCAAGTTCCACAGGAGCTACAGCTGGGATTAGATGGTGAGGAGGCCAGGAAGGCACTGGGAAGGGCCAGGCTGTCAGCAGGAGCTGGGGTGGTGACAAGGACATTGAAGGTCAGGCATCACTATCTCGCCCTGGTGAGGAGTATGGGGCTGTGGCAGGGCTGGTGGTGCCAGGGCAGGCTTCTGTGCTCACCCCAGGGGTTGCTAAGGACAAGATTTTCTTGAACCCTGCTGCTCTGCCCTGGTTTTGCAGGCAGGAGCTGCCTCGTGTAAGAGGCATCTTGACACTAAGCAGAATTTGCTGCCGGAGGGACTTTTCCTTAATAGGCAGGAGAGCAGCAACTCTGTGGAGATCTCTGAGGGACCCTCTCCTCCCTGACGGCTGGCCCTGGACTGCAGGCACTCTCTGGGGACTATCAGCACCACAAGTGTCCTGCTGTACCCTCCAGCCTTGCTGCCAGGCCCTGCTGTGCCACCCCTGCTCTCTGGCAGCACCGGAGACCCACACCAGGCCCTGCCTTGTGCCCCAGCAAAAGCTGTGTGCGACTAGGGAAGGGATTTGGTGATTTCTCCTTAAAGCACCCTCCTCCTCTTCTTCCATTGCATCGGTCGGGAGCAGGGATGGGAGATCCAGACAAGAGCTGGGAGTGGAGCAAACGCAGCATCCCCCCTCCCCAAGGCACCCCCAGCAGCAGAGCCCCCCCAAAATACCCTTTTGTCCGATCAAACCCAGGCGAGACGGAGGGGAAGGACGGGACAGGGTGACCCGCGGGAGGTGGGGAGTCGAGCCCAAGCTCTCATCTCCCGAAGCGGAAGGTGAATCCCCCTTTTCTCCTGTTGTAGCCGTTGATCTCCTCCGCCAGGTTCCCCAGGGTGCCGCTGCGCTTCTCCCCAACCACGGGCAGCGCCCCGGGGCCGCCGCTCCCGCCCGGCCGCTGCCCGGCCCCGGCCGCGCTGTATCCCCGCAGCTCCCGGGCGATGCTCAGCAGCGCTTCCAGCTCCTCGCTTCTCCTCCGCCGTGCCCCTGCCCTCCAGCCGGGACCCCGGGTGATGCTCAGCAGCTCATCCAGCTCCTCGCTTCTCCTCCGCCGTGCCCCTGCCCTCCAGCCGGGACCCCGGCCCTCCGCCGCCCTTTGCCAGCCGCCCCCCAGCGCAGCCCCTTCCCCGGGCTCTGCCGGCTCCCAGCGCTCGCCGGGAGGGATGCAGGCTCCCAGGCTCAGGAGGAAGAGGCAGGACAGCGAGTAGGGTGCTCTCATCTAGGGGAGGCACAGGAATAGGGAGGAATGTCAGTGGAGCATCCTCAGGCAGCGGCTGAAGCACGGGCTGCCCTGGGCAGGTCCCCATCCCTGCTGCAGCACCCCCAAACCAGCCCTGCCACCCCTGCTGGAACCCCCCGAGCTGCTCCTCCTGCAGCCTCCACACCAGCAGCCAGCACCGCAGAGGGTCTGAGCTCCCCCCTGCCTCCTGAGAGCTGCTGCCCTTCACAGATCGCAGCCTCGCAGCTGCTCCCAGGATTATTTTATTCCCCGCAGTGCAGGGCTGGGGGTCCGGAGCTGCCCGCTCCTCTTGGGGGCACCGCGGGAGCATCACCCCGATCGTCCCCACGAGCGGGTGACACGGGGCAGAGGAGGTGCTCGGCTTTATCCCTGTGCTCTGCGGGGCTCGGAGCTGCCCTGGAGAGGGCTCTGAGCAGAAGGGAGTGAAGATCTGAGCTTCGTGTGGTGCCACAGGCTGGGGGTGACCTTCAGCAGGGGCAGAGCTGCTTGGCCTCCCTTCCTCCTCCCACAAGGGCTCAGAAAAAAGAAACGGGTAATATTATTATTATTATTATTATATTTTATAATTATATATAATAATAATAATAATAAGGAGAAGAAGAAGAAGAAGAATAACAATAATAATAATAATAATAATAATATCTGGAGATATTGCCTTCAAAGCTGCTGCAGCTGCTGGGGGCCAGGCTGTCTGCTCCACGCCTGCCCAAGGGGGCTGTTTCTCACTCCTGCACCAGACCCAGGTACACTCAAGCCCCTGCCAGCCCTTTCCAACACTCCTTAGCCCGGAGGTTTCACTTCAGGCTGCCCCCCTGCCTTTTTCACACCTAGCCTCTGTTCTGCTCTCTCCCTTTTTCCACCCCCTTGCCCATCACGGAGCCAAATTGCTGAGTCCCGTCCTGGGGTCTGGGGGTGCTGGTGGGTCCCCAGCTGCTTCCCACCAGCCTTTGACTCCTCCTCGGCTGTGCTGCCCGTCGAGGCAGGGCTGTAGGGCAGGGACAGACAGACAGACAGACAGACAGACACACGGACACCCATCACTTACCTCTGCACCTCGGTGCTGCCCAGTGCTGCCACCCTGGCACCTCTCTGCCCTCTCTGGGTCCAGATGAGCGGCCAGCCCACCTTGGGCCATTAAATAGCCACGAGCGCTGATTGCCATGTCACCCTTGGGCGTGTGGCCACAGGGAGAGGAGGGTGGGATCCTCGGGGAGGGGACAGGGCCTGGTGGAGCTGCCACAGTGGGAACACAGCAACACCGCTCGTTAACGCGCCGCCTTTGTTTGCTGCCTCATTTGGAGGAGCAGCCAGGAGCTGGCCTTGTGTCTCTGGCAGCTGTCAGGGATGCTGCTGGGATGGAGGGTCTCATCTGGGGACCCACGTGTGTGCCCCTCATCTGGCTGACGTGTCCTTTTGTGCAGCTGTTGGGGGTCCCACCCATCCAGGCACCACTGGAGACCCCTGTGCCCCCAAACCCACCCAGGACCTGCCCCACATGGACATGCCCAAGTGCTGCCACCCTCCCTGGCCAACACACACAGCCAGCAGTGCTGGAACATGGTCCCCAAGGCACCCTGCTGTCCCCTCGGCCTGTCCTGGGCTGTGGCAGTGGAATGTGAGGTGGGCAGCAGGGAGGGACTGGGGGCATCGCTCGGTGCTCTGTGCATCAGAGCAGATCCCCTTGGCACAGACACCCGCCACCCTCCCAGTCCTGGGGCCACCCAAGGTCCTGCAGGGCCTTGTTTGGGCTTTCCTGGGAAGCCTCCTCAGCCCCCTGGGTTTTGTTTTGCAGGGTGGTTTCAGTGTGGAATTCCCAAGGGTGCCACGTGAGGAGCTGCAGGGATTCGGTGTCACTCCCTTTGTCCCCCCGGCCGTGTCCCCGTGCTGTCACGGCTGTCACACACCGGGTAACGATGAGATCCTTTTATTAAGGAGTTTAGAAAGTCCACATGTACAGCGTTGGACACACTCACACACGACCTAGACTTCACAGCACTGCTACACACCACGGCCTGGCCCAGGGCTTCTCTGGGAACATCCATGGCCACATCCCAGACCCACAGTCCCCCCTGCCCACCCCTCTCCAGGGAGGTGTCACCACAGATGGGTTTAACCTAATCCAGGCCCACAGAGCAATGCGTGAGCTCTTGGGAATAATCCTGGGAAATCCTGCGCCTTGGCATGGATTAAATACCTCTCGTGCAAATCAAAACAAATCTCTGGGGGGTCCTGAGAGACACAGGCAGTTACACAAGGATGTGCTACCAACAAACCAACGTACAGTGTTCCCTCCCTGGCACGGCAGAACACCAGTGGAGGGCTCTGGGAGGGGATGAGCCTTCCCACCCGGCACATGGTTCCATGTGCATTCCTGCCCAAAACCCAGCTACAGCCAACCCACCAAAATAACTGATCAAAAAGTAAAGATGGGTGGGTGCAGGCTGGACCCTTTCCAGAAAGGTCCAGTGGAACACAGGAAGCTCCTTGGAAGCTGTCAGGGCTCCTGCTGTTGTGCTGAGAAATGCCACTGCTGAGTTCCCCCGGCTCCCATTGCTCCAGAAAGTGCCAGCCTGACCTCTCTGGGCATGGATGGAGTGTGCAGAGCTGAGTGCCCTTCACTCAGAGCTCATCCTCACCTGAGGGCTCTGGAGAATCTCTCTGGCAGAGTGAAGAGCTGTGGTGATCCCAGTGCACCGTTTGTGATTTCTCTGTCAGGGCAGACAGACAGCCACTCACCCACTAGGTGAGAGATCTTGTCCAGCACAAGATGTGGGGTGGGGAAGGCTTAAAAAAAAGAACAATCACAGAGGGAAGTACAAACCTGGCACAGCTGGGAGGATGAGTCTTTGACCTCCCTGTGCTTTAAGCTCCCCTGGAAATGGAGATGGGGAGTTTCCCTCCCCTCCTCAGTCCCTCCATCTGTCTGATGGTGTTTCTTGGGGCAGGGCTGTGCTGTAGCACAGGCAGAGAATGATGTAAAGGGTGGCAGGGTCACGTCTGTCCCCTCCCCTCTCAGTCCAGAGTCTGCTCACATTTGGTTCTCGGGGTTTTTTTTGACAAAGTCCCCCATTTGAGTCCTTGCAGGGAGCAGCAGGAGACATCAGTCCCACAGCCCACGGCAGCTCCTGCCTGGCCCGGCTGCTGCTGCTGCCCCGTTATCAGGGCCCTGCAGATGCTAAGCCCCACTCGGGGCTTCTTTTTTGCAAAACCTTAACGGGATTTGAGGGAATGAAAGGCTTTGGATATCTGCAGGTGCCGAGGCAGTGCCGCAGCTCAGGCGGGGTGAAAATGAGCTCGGGTGCCCGGCGAGCAGAGGGGGCTCGCTGGGAGATGTGGCTGAGCTGCCAAAGGGTTTGGGGAAAGCAAATGCAGGCAGAGCCGTGTTGGGAAGTGAGCCTTCCTCGCCTCCTCCTCTTCCTTGTTGTGCTCCCTGTGTCCTCAGCACTGCCAGAACAGCTCCATGCCATGCTCAGTTCTGGGTGTACGTCCTTGCAGCACTGTTCTGGCTCACTTTGGGGTGTCCTGACCTGCTGGGAGGCTCCAGGAGTCAGGACAGGGATGATGGGGATAAGGAGCTGGTGGTTGTCCCTCCCCAGCTGCGCAGGGAGCGTTCTGCAGTCCGGAGGAGGAGTTGCTGGCATGGTCAGAATGACCCAGCTGAGCCCTCCCCATCACCAGTAGCACCATGGGGGAGCTGGAGCTGTGGAGCAGCAGCCTCATCCCAGTCCTGGGGGTTTGGGGGGGCTGGGGTTCCTCATTACAAGAGCCCCCAGTCCCTTGCCAGCTTAGCAAGCCCACTGCCAGGTGTCAGTGCTCAGAGCAGAGGTCACCAGAGGTGCTCAGCCTGCCTGAGCTGCTGCATCCCTCCCTCCCTCCCTCCTTCCCTCCAGGCAGCCCTTTTCCTCCCTTGCAGGACCCTGCAGGACACCTCTGCCCAGATACCTGCATCCTACCTGCCCCAGCCACGGGCACAGGCCGTGGGTCACAGTCTGGCCAGGACACCCGTTCTGGCTGCAGGGGAGCCACGGCAGTGGGAAGCAAAGGTCTGGCAACATCTGTGGGTGCCCAGGAGCCAAAGCCACCCTCGCTGGCAGCAGATGCTCCCCAGGGGCCCCTCAGAGGCGGGCGAGCCCTCAGAGAGGATGGGGAGGATGGCAGCTGAGGGGGTGGGTCTGCAGGGCGCTGGGGGAGGGCAGGGGACTGGGCACGGCGTGGGCGCTGCTGCCATCAGCTAATTCTCCTCCCGGACGGGCCGGATCTTCATCTCGGTGAACTTGAGGGAATACTGCCAGCCGGTCCAGGAGGACCACTCGATGCCGTCGGCGTAGGAGCTGTGGTGGCCCCTGAGGTACTGCCCGTTGAGGTTGGAGGTGTGGCAGTTGCGGTACCACCAGGCGCCGTGGTAGAAAGCGGCGCAGTTGTTCTCCGAGTGGTCGTTGTCCAGGTCCTTGGTGGTGAACTTCATCCCGTTGTGCTTCAGGAAGGAGTCACCTGTCCCAGGGGAAAGGAATCCTGATGGGCACCTCCTGCCCCACCCCGTGGGGCTCCCCTGGGCACCGCAGTGGGGATCCTACAATGGGGCGGGTGCCCAACCTCACCGCGCCTCCGGTGCTGCTGCCAGGGCCACTGGAACAGCCCAGCAAGGGGCTCGGTGCCCACGGGCCCACGTGTGTGCCCCCACCCTGCTGCCCTACCTGCTGTCCCTGAGTAGTCGGCGATGGTGATGGGGTACCCGTCCTCCTCGGGGTCCACGGAGAAGAGCCCCACGCCGAAGGTGCCGTAGTGGGCGAAGGCGGTGCCGTTGTCAAAGTCCTCCAGGTCGATGCGGAGCTCGTAGCTGCCCTGCACCGTCAGCAGGTGGATCCTCTTCAGCCCTGGCAGAGGGAAAGGGTGAGTGTGGGCACCCGCTGGGGATGCCCAGGGGTCCAGCCCCTCCCTGCCCGGCCCATCACTCCCAGGACTTGGGTGTGCAGGGGGGTCTCAGTGTCCCCTCCATCACAAAGAAAGCCCAAACCTCTCCAGGGCAGAGAGGCTTTGCCAGCCTGCCCAGGGCCGGGCACTGCCAGCCCCACACACCTAACCAGTGCTCTCCTGTCAGCTTCCCAAAGCCGTCCCTGTAGGCTTCCCAGCCACGGAAAAAGTTGACAGAGCCGTCCTCCCGCCGCTGGAACACCTGGGGACACACAGAGAGCATCAGCTGTGGGGCTGCTCCCCACCTGCGTGCCCCGGGCAGCCCCTCTGCTCCCCACCGTGCTGCCCACCCCTCCCTGCCACTGGGGCACAAATCAAACCCCCTCGGCTCGGCGGTTGCACAGGGAAATGCTCCATCCTAGGGGTGGCTCAGGTAAAACCCTTCACAGGATCCTCTGTCTGAGATGTCAGCTGAGCTCAGGAGCCTGAAGCTCCTTTGGAAGTTGTCGGGTGTCCCTGGAGTGGTGGACACCCTACAGCTGCCTCCAAAGAGCCGGGCTCTGCTCCTGCACAGGGGAGCAGAGACACGGGGGGCACAACCCGAGGTCTGTCCTGCAGCTTGGGCTGCCCGGCTCGCTGTGAGCTCTCCTGGCTGCTCAGAACTCTGTGAAAACCCAGCGGGGCTGATTTCTTCCTCCTGGATCTCTTTGCTCTCCTGGGCAGTCACCCCGCTATAAAACATCATCTCTGTCACAGCCCCATCAATCCCCCAGAGAAATGAGCTGCCCTGAGCCCTGCAGAGCCCCCAGATCCCAGGCAGATCCCAGGGCTCAACACAGCTTTTCTGCTCGGAGCCTTTCCCTTTTCCTCTCCCATCTGCTCATCAGCGCGTGTGCCCTGTGTGTTTCATCCCCTTTTATCCATACTTTTGGGTTTGATTTATTGACAGCGACCCACAAAACGCTGCTTCGTGCCTGACCATTTGAACTTAATTAAGCCTCCAGCCCTGGATTAATTGCACTAAAGTTGGCTGAGCAAGCCTGCCCCGCTCCCTCCGAGCTCTGTGCTCCCGAGGCCGTGGTGGGGACAGTTGGGGCACTCTGTGATTTAGGCAGGACCCTCCCAGGCTCTGACAGCCCAGGGGCCAGAGCACCCCATCTTCAGAGCTGGGCTGTGCTGCTGAGCCCAATTTCCAGCATCCCAGGATCGGCACAGCTCTGATCTGCTGTACTTACCTTCTAGAATTAGAGCCTTAATTTTTATCCCTGCATTGAGCACTTGAGAAGCTGTGGTTAAGCCCGTTTAAAGGGGCTTTCTTCAGGCTTGCTGGGAAAGGGGGACAGCGTGGCTGGCCAGGGGCCTGAAGCTGATTTTCCCCAGCCACCATCGGCGCTGGGGAAGGCGGTGGCTGCAGACCAGGGCTGCCTCTTAATCGGCTTTGACCCGCAGTTGTAAATAGCCCAATTGGCTGAGTGGTGCCCAGGGAAGTGTGTGGTGTGGGAATCCAGGGCTTCCCTCTGGCTGCCCTGGCAGCTCTGGGACCCTGGCAGGGGGCAGGAACCCCCTGGACAGAGCCCCCAGAGACACTGGCTGTGATCTCTGTCCATGGAAAAGAGTTTTCAATCTTACAGGATGAATTACAAGCTTTGAGTGTTTGATAAGAGTAATAATTAAGTGTGACACGGGTGCAAAGGTAAAATTTTAGGATTCTAGATTAGGGATCCAAAGGGGACAAGATGGAGGAAATTGGGTGTGTCTTGTCCTTTTTCTCCTTCTTCATGCCCTCCATATTTCACTGCAGTGTTGGCATTTTTCTGTTGGTTCAGGCTGGGGACACACTGTCCAACGTAGGTGACAGATATTGGCACGTTATTGTAAATCCAGCACAGGTAGTTTGTGGTATTTAATGTTTGTACCATCCCACTGAGGGCAGAGCCCCACACGCTGCCCTGCAGGACAGAGCTGCGGCAGGGCAGCAGAACATGTTAGAGATAAACAGAATAAACAACCTTGAAACAGCACAGACCAATTATGGCTTCTGCTTTGGCAACGGGGCAGAAAGACAGAGACTTTCTACAATCTTGGAATCACCAATACCCACAGATTCAGACAGTGTGGGACAGGGCTGCACTGCCTGAGCCTTGGCACAGCTCAGGCATCACCCCAGGAGAATCCTTCAGTGCCCCACTGCCCACCAGGCTCAGCCCCGAGGGGACTCAAAACCAGGCTGGTGGCTGGTGAGTGCTGGAGCTCCTGTGTCCTCCCGAGTCTCCTGCTCCATCCTCATCATCTCTCATGCCCAAATCCTTCTGTGCCTCTCCTGTGCACCCCCCAGGTGCAGGCAGGGCTGTGGGAGCCTCCTGCTCACCCTCTGGGAGGGTTGGCAATGCTGGGTGCACCCGCAGGCTCATCGTGCTCCCAGCCCTGCCTCGCTGCTCTTTTCCTCCTCATCAAATATGCATCACCCCCCTCTTAAGCAAAAAGGATTTCCCTCCCTTCTTTAAAGGCAAGGCTGAAATATTTATCTCCCTCATTCTCTGCCTCCCCCAGTTGCCCCCGTGGTGCGGGGATTGGCACCTGCAAAGCCACAAACACAGAAAAATGGGTTAAAAGCAGAGAAAAGTGGGAGCATCAACCTGTCCCTGCCATGGCACCTTCCTCTCCCTCAGCTCCACCAAACTCCTGGTGGGCTTGAAACTCCCGGGCTGGGGACATGCTCAGCCACATCTTCTCCAGCACCACAGAGCTCAGGCTCCTGGTTCCAGTTTTGGCAGCACGGCAGAGACCCCACAGCCCTGTCCCCAAGGTTCCTCTGAGCCCTGTCACAGCAGGGACACCATCCTTGGGCTCAGCCAGGGAAAAGCTGTGAGCAGAGCAGAGCCAGTCCTGGGGACAGCTGTGGACACCACAGCTGGCAGCACTGCCTGGCCCTGTTTGTGGTGACACATAAACCACATCCTTGGAAACAGAAGGTGCTCCTGTGGCTCCTCTCAGCCCCTGCCTGTGCTTTACCCCAGCCCAGTGTCTGCTCAGCCCCATCCCTCCCCAGGACCCCTCCAGGCTGGTGAGGCTGTCCCCACCCGTGTCCCAGCACAGCAGGTACCCCTGAAGCTGGGAGCTGTCACTTGATGTCACCACAGCCCTCGTCCTGCTGGCACAGCTTTTTTTTCTTCCGGATTCTTTGGCTTTCCCACCATTTCCCACCACAGGCTGTGCACGGAGGTGGTGCTGAGGCACACAGAGCACTGCTGCTCGTGGAGCTGAGCTCTGATCCCAGGGGATTTTGCCCCACATGAGGAGCAATGGAGGCTCAGGGGCACTGGGAGGAGTGTGTGGCATTTGCAAAGACATTCTGAAGACAACATCATAGGAAAAGGCAACTTCTTGAGCCCTCCTGAGATGCTGAGCCTTCTTTGACCTCTGCCATGCCATTATTAATTTAAGAAAGAGCCAGAGGTGAGTGGCAGGGGCAGAGCTGGGCTGGGCAGTCCCAGGGCACTCACTGCTACCCCAGGCAGTGCTGGGCACAGGATATGGATGCTCCCATCACACCCACATCCCCAGCAGCAGCAAACGTGACCCTGCTGCTGGTGGGCAGGACCGAGGGGCACAAACCAGCCCAGCCTTGCTCAGCCTCCCCCAGGAGGGGACAGGGAGCGAGCAGGACCCTGCCTCTGTGGATCACGCTTTGGGGACAGCGAGGTCCTGAGCTCTTCCCCCTGCCCAGCCCCCGTGGCCTCTGAGCTGTCCAGGCAGCCTAAAGCTGAGCTCAGCAGCTCCCAAAGCTCCCGAGTCAAAATTGATTCAGCTGCTGCCATCACTTCCACCCACCCACATGCAAATAAGCCCAAATGTCAGGAGTAATCGCTCCTGAAGGGGAAGGGGAAGGGAAGGGAAATTTCCCAATTTCCCAGTTATTTCCCAATTTCCCAGTTACTTCCCAGGCTCTGCCCCACAGCACCCAGCCGTGCCACGGCTTCCCTGGAGCCTGGACCAGCCAGTGCCCCCACAGCCCCAGCCCCCAGAGATGGCTGAGACAATTCCTGCACCCAAGGGACCGGAGGCACCTTTGGGACCCTCTGCTGCAGGGCAGCCCCAAGAACCAGGAGCCTGGGGTGGGTGTGCACCCTCACCCAGCTGGGCTGTGCCTCAGCCCCTGGCATCCAGCGCCTGGTTTGGCCCCTGGCCCCACCATGCAGGGCAAGGCCGAGGTGTCTGTGCCACTCCAGACCCTCCCGGTGCTGCCAGGCTTGGAACCACTCGCTGTGCCCCCTCCCCAGCCCAGCCCGAGCCCTCCCCAGCCCGCAGCAGCTTTCAATAAGCCTCTGAGTGTCTCGCTAATCACCTTGGGCTGCTCTTCAGGCTTGGCCGGGGCTGCTGGAGGCTGTGCAGACCGTGCACAGGGTTTGCAAGGACCCTCTGCACCTTGGGGAGCCAGGAGGGTCCCCCTCTCCCCTCTGTAGGCCCCCGAGAACTGAGATCCCCGTCTGTGCTGTGCCTCAGTTTCCCCACTGGAGCTGCAGATACCACCCAACCCCACAGGTTCCTCCTGCCCAGGGTGGGCTCTCGGAGGTCGAAGGCTCATCAGCCCCTGAGGGCAGGGGGGCTAAGCTCCCTCCTGGCCCTGCTCAAAGCTGCTTAGGGGAATCAGATCGTGGGGATTTGTTTCCTAGAGCGCCCAGCTGGAGGGGTGCTGGCCAGCTCGGCTCACCCAGAACATCCTCAGGGCAGAGGCTGCCTGCCCACCCCTCCTGCTGAGACCCCACCACCTCCTGGGACCCCCTCTCTGTCCTGCTGGCACCCCAAGTGATGCCCTCCAGGGTGGGGGGAGCTGCTTACACCCCTCAGCTCCCTGGGGCAGCGGGGGCTGCAGGCTGGGGGTGGCAGAGCTGCCCCCACCCCTGCTCCTGCCCCCATTACTGGGATCTCGGGGCCATCGTGGCAGAGTGAATCAGACAGGGGGTGAATCAGCAGAGCACCCGAGGTGCCCCAGGCACCCCGGCCTCAGATGAGGCCAAACGTGTGGGTTTGGGTCTGCCCTGAGCCCCAGCACTGCCTCACTGGGTCCAGGAGGAAAGCACAGCCACGTGCCCCATGGCACAGCCGCAGCCACTGCAGCCACACCGTGTCCCTGCTGAGGACAAAGCCCAGAGGTGGCATCCAGCTCCCTGCCTGGACCCCCTCCAGCCCCAGGGCAGGCTCCAGCTCAGGGCTCTGCCTGGCACCTCTGTGAGCTCTGGGTGCACAGCCAGGCCCCCTTGACATTTATTGTCCCTCCTGATGCCACCTCCAAGTGTCCAAAGCGACATCTCCCAGCCTGGCAGCCCGGCACGGGGCCAGCCATGGGGCAGTGCCATCCCCGTGTCCCCAGCCTGGTGGCAGCTCACCGTCCAGCCGCCCCCGTCCGTCGTCATGTCACAGTAGACCTGGAAGCCATCAGGGTAGTGGGTGGGGAAGATGGAGTAAATCCCATCCTCCTGCTGTCCGCTGGCATAGATGTCAAAGCAGTCTCGGGGCCGGGAGCCTGCAGGGTGCCGTTGGGATGGGGTGGGATGAGGGGAAAGCTGGTTAATTAATGGTCTAATTTAATGTCTTGCCATTTCTTCCAGGCTCCCAACCTTGCTTCCAGCTCTAGTTGCCAGCTTGGTGCTACTTTGCTCTTTCCCTCCCTTCTCCTCTGATGATCAGGGCAGTGCCAAGGGGGACACCACCACCGTGGGGACACCCCAGCAGCTGGCAGGGACTGCCCTCATGTCCCTGGGAGATCCCAAGGGCAAGCTGGGACCCAGATGGGGACAGGGGACAGCCAGTGCCCAGGGAGGCTGTGGGCACGTGCTCCCAGCTCCGGGACAGGCTCACCCAGCTGCATCCCAACCCAGGCTGAGGAATGGCACTGCTTATCCCATGCAGGGCCACCCTCCCCACCCGATGGAGGTGAGTGTGTCCCTGCTACCCTCTGTGCTTTTGCAGGGCTGTGAAGGGGTTTTTGGGCTGCTTTATGGACAAGTGGGAGCTGCAGGGTGACACACCTTTCCATCTCCTTCCTTCTCCACCCCCTGCACTGTATGAAATCCCTTCTCCAGGATGGTTCGCCCCGTGCTGGGTGGTTTCTCCCCACCAGGAGCAGCCCCAGGCACATCCCTCTCCCCAGGCCCTGGCAGGGATGTCCCTCACCGTTGGAGCAGCCCCGGGGCCGTGCTCCCCTGGCCGGAGCTCGCTGCAGGTCAGCCTTGAGCCGGGGCCGGGCCCCGCCGCGCTCCCTCTGCAGCGTGTCCAGGACGTCGCTGACGGAGCTCACCAGCCGAGCCATGTTGGTCTGGCTCTCCGAGAGCAGCTGTGGCCAGGGGACACACAGGGGGACACCAAACTGAGGTTAAATGGTTAAACACCTCCCACATCCCAGCCCCTTGAGCACTCTGCTCAGCAATGCCGGGGTATGGGCTGCTGGGGACAAATCCACAGCAGATCCCATAAAACGTCTCTGCTGCTTTTTGGCAGGGGTCAGGGTCCAGATAAGCACCTGGGAGGAGAAATCCCCAAACTTGGGTGCACTGGTGTGCAATCCCATGGGATTTGTCCCGGGCAAAGGACGGGATGACGGAGGCGGCAGGAATAGCCGTGTCCTGAGGCAGCCGCCAGCTCTTCTCATCCCCTGAGGTGACCCAGGCTGGGACAGTGACACAGGGTGGCTGTGGCAGAGCATCAGGATGGGGAGGGAAGAGAAGCAGCAAGAAACAAGCAGCTCTGGGCAGAGGGAGCTGAGTACCAGAAGGGTCAGGCAAGGAACACCCAGCCGTGCCCTGGATCTTGCTGCGACACCTGGCAGACCCCTGGCATGCTCAGGTAGGCATTTCAACCCAGCTCATTGCTGGGAGATTTTGGGGGCTGTAAAGAGAGGGGACTGATGGCTGCATGAAGCAGCCTTGAGAAGGTTCTGTGTTGTGCTGGGCTCTGACTGGAGCTCCCAAACTGGACCTGGAGCTGGGACAGCCACAATGTGGGAGGCTGCACGCCTGGCTCACCGGCACTGGGGTGGTTTGGCAGAGAGAATTCCCAGCTTCCAATTCCCAAGGGCTCGCCTTCAACCTCAGCTCCTTCTCCTGGATGCTGTGGGCAGGGGCTGCGAGCAGCCATGCCCCCAGGGACATGGGGACAGGGAGTTCCACCCCCAGGGAGCCCTGCCTGGCACTGCCAGCCCCGGCTCACCTGGATGAGCCTGCCCTGCTCTCCCTGCAGGGCGCTGAGCTCCTGCCCCATGGCGCTGTGCCCCTTCTTGAGGCCGTCGCAGTCGGCGCGCAGCTGCACGGCGTGGCTCAGCACCTTGGCCACCTCGTCCGCCACCGTGACCAGCAGGGCCTTCTGCTGGCTCTTGGTGGCCTTGGCCTCGGCGTCGTGGTCGGTGAGGGCGTGCAGCAGGGAGCTCTGCAGCCCCTCCACGCGGGCCAGGGCGCCGGCGGCGCTGGGGCAGTTGGGGTCGATGAAGATGTTGATGCGGGAGCTGTCGGCTTTCTCGATGGTCACCAGCGCGTTGGGCTCCTCGGGGTTGGTGCTGATGACGGGGGGTGACTCGGTGACAGGCGTGTGGTAGTGGTTCATGAAGAGGATGGCCCCTGTCACCGTCACCGCCAGGAGCACGGCCACCGAGAGCAGGACGGTGCACAGGATGTATCCACAGCTCATCCTCTGCGGGCAGAGACACAGGATCGCCATCAGCACCCCCCTGGACATCCCCTGCACCCCGGGGAGGCTCTGGCAGTGGCAGGGACACGGAGGCCACGGGAGAACACGGAGCCAGCAGAGCAGCCCAGCCCGCCCGGGAGCGGGTATGAAATAATAACGAGAGCGAAGGCACGGCAGCGCCGGCTCCCGCTGGCATGTTTTATTTACAGCAGCCATCCTGGGCTGGAGCAGCCCTGGCTCCCCAGGAGATGTGTGGGGGGCTCCCTGCTGCCCTGGGCACAAAGGTGGGGAGAAAAAGGGAAAACACCTCGTGTCCCTCGCAGCAGGGAGCGCAGGGAGAGAGCCAGGGTGGCTGTGGGTCAGTGCTGGGGTCGTGCTGCCCTGAGTGTCGTGGGGACCTGCTCTGCATAGGGCAGCTCTCAGCTATGGCAGGCGACTTCTCTTCATCTCCCTTGTCACCTCATTTCCTGCTGGAGGGGGCAGAGCTGCTCCCAAAGCCTCTGGATCAGTCCCAGAGCATCCCAGTAAGGGAGAGCTGCTGTGGGAAAGGTCTCTGAGCCCCCCAGCCCCTCTGGCAGCTCTGCTGCTGTTCAGGCCCATCAGCTCAGCCCGTGGGACCTGCTCCGTGCCCACCAAGAGCCTTTTCCCCCTGCAAAGCCTGAAGTGCCAGCACAGTCAGTGCAGAACGGGTGAGCTGCCCCCCGATCCCATCGGCTCCTGCTCTCCCTCCACCTCTCCTCCTCCTCACACCTGCAGGACAGAGGCTGTGGTTTCCCCCTGACCCTGGCCACAGCTGTCACAAGGAATTGCAGGGCTGGCAGCAAACTGCAGATTCAGAGAGACAAAGACTACTTTCCCCAGAAACGAGGGGAAAATTGCTGCATCTGCAAAGATTTCCCAGGCCCTGTCCCCTCCCGTGCACATCTATCTGGAGTGACACCTTCCTTCAAGCACCCTTCATTTCCTTCCATCTCACGCAACCATTTGCATTAAGGTGACCCCAGCTGCAGTGGGGCTGGCTGGGGGGCTGAGGACACCCCACCAGCCCCCGGGAATGCTCTGGGTTCCTCCCCCTCTCCATGGAGTGAGGCTGCAGATGCAAAGAGCGCTGGATGATTGGGAAGCCACCTGCAGGGAGCTCTGTGAGGAGACAGCCCCAGGCTCAGCCCCTTGGCACAGGTTAAAAGGAGATGTCAAAGGCAATAAGGGAAGCTCTGGGCAAGCAGGGGGTGGAGGAGTTTGTCTGGTGTGTGTAGGCACAGAGCCCTGCCTTGGGGGCACAGGGGACACCCAGGAGCAGCAGGATGGTGGCAGGCAGAGGTGGGAGATGCTCATCACTCAGATCCTTCTGTGGACACCCAGGACCTGGCCTCAGCTGGGACCCTCAGCACCCTGCAAGCACAGAAGTGACAGGAGGGGTGGCTGCTGACCACAGGCCAATGTCTGGTGGTTTGGGATCTACAGGGTGAGCAGGGACATGTCCCTGTGGTTGTCCTGGCTGTGACAGCACCCTCATCTCCAGGGCTTTGTGCCCTCCCCTGCTGCTGCTCCCAGCTGGAGGGGCACATGGAGGAGCTGCAGAGCCCGAGGGTCCCCTCTGAGCAGTGACAGCTCCCAGAACAGAGCCACGGATGGACGAGGCTCCGCTTCCCACGGCCACACAAACCCCAGCTGGGCTGTAACACACCAGAACCTCGCAGCTCTGCCCAGGTGTACCACACACTGGGAGCTTATCCGGCTGTTTTCCAGCCTTCAAGCCCCAGAATCCCTGCCCTCCCACCAGCAACAGGAACTGGGGGCCAATCCCCTCCCAAAGTGATCCCCTCTGCTTGCAACAGCGAGATCCTGAGTGGCAGCAGCTTCAGGAGTCCCACGGCATTTTGCTGGCAGGTTGTGTTACCTGGCAACCTGCCGTGGGGAGAGGAGGCACACTCAGCCAGTGGCACCAACAGCACTCCAAACTGGGGTGGGGGTCCCCCCAAGCCCCTCCAGCAAAGCAGCACTGCAGCAGCGTGCCCAGCTCTGAACCCTGGGCCACACGCTCCTGCCTCACCATGACCACAGCTCTCGTGATCCCCAGGGTTCCTGCTGTGGGTTCCATGGCCTCAGCCTCCTGGAATTCTTGCCAAGACTTTTGGACAGCTGTAAGACATCCCCCTGCCCTGGTTACTGATGTTCCCCTGGGGATATCCATAGGGCTGGAGGTCCCAGTGTCTCCTTCCTAGGGAGAGCAGAAGCTGTGAGACTGGGTGGTGATTGGGATGGGCAGATCTTCACTTGCAAACCTGCTCTGGAGGCTGGGAGGGAGGATCTAGGGCATGGTGGTGTCCCTGGTGAGATGGACTGTCCAAGCCCTGCACTGGCACAGGGAGTAGATCTACACTTGGTCACCCATGGGGGCTGGGTCCTTGGTGACCCAGCCACACTTTGTGAGCAGCTCTGGACCCCGTCAGGACCCTCAAATCATTCCCCAACCCACTCAGCCAGCCAGACCCCCTGCTCTGGGGATGGGGACGAGCAGCTCCAGCACATGCAGCCTGTGGGAAGGGGAGGACACAGATCGGTTTGTCCCCAGGGCAGCCAGAGGCAGCTGCTCCCTGGAGAGATGGATGGAGAGTGAGCTCTGCCCTGGGAGATGCTTTAAGATGAGGAGGTGCCCTTTGCTCCTGCCAAAATCCCTGCCCCTCTCCGGCTCAGCAGACCAGCTGGGATGGGAGGCAGCGGTCCTGCAGCCTGGCTGCTCTGCCCCTGGGCTGTGCCCTCAGCCAGGGGCGAACCAGAACCTGTGTTCTGCTTCCCAGGCAAGTGGACACTGTGGTTTGCATCTCCCAGGCTCATCAGCTGGTGCAAACTTTAGTCCGGGTGCCCGCACCTTCCTGCCGGGTCCACCCAGCGCTGCAGGCGCCCCAGGGCAGCGAGGCTCCGTCCTCCTCCCCGAGCCTGTGGCTCATTCAGAGCTGCCTGAGCAACTCAGTTCTCATCCTTGCTCCGTCCCTCTCCACCCCCGCTGCCCATCCCGCCCGGCTGGGGGCTGCAGCCCCCGTCCCCTCTCCCCGGGCCGGGGCTGTGTCCCCGCCGCCCCCGGTGCTCCCCACGGGCGGGCACGGAGCGGGTGAGCTGAATCCCGCTCCCGTTTTCCTGCTCTCCTCCGTTACCCAGAGCCTGCCCGCACCGCTCGCAGGGATGGGGAAAGGGAGAGGAGAGAGGACGGGAAGGATGGCGAGCACGCAGAGGGCTGGGATGGCATTCCAGCCGAGCTTGCGGGAGCTGGGACCGCAGCACCGGCTGCACGGCAAACTCTGCGCATCCTTTGAAACCCCCCGCCAACCATCCTGTGGCCAGCTTGGATCCATCCTGCCCGGGTCGCCCCCCGGGGCCACAAAACCGGGGGGGTGGCAGCTCGGAACGGGTGGCACTGCCCGAATCCCTGCATGCAGGGGCTGTGCACAGGGAGGGAGCTCTCCAGGGAGGGGAGGGCAGGGATCTGCCTCTCTGGGGCTCATCGGGGGTCTCCCGGGCTGCTCGCAGAAGGGGAAGTCAGGCAGAAACCCCTCTCTTGCCTTGCTGCGGGTGTCAGGGACAGGAAAGTGGCGGACTCAGGGTCGAGCGTGTCTCACGGCTGCTCCCCCCATCCTTGCCCAGCTCTTGGGTTCCGAGGAAGGGCAGCACTGCCAGCTCTCGGTCCCTTCCTCCAGCTCTTCGCAGACACGTTTGCCCACAGTCCGCACTCCTTTTTCCCACCCTGACCGCGCTCAGCGCGTCCATCCACGCCTGTGCCTGTCCCTACAAGTGTCCAGGGCCAGGCTGGATGCTCTGAGCAACCTGCTCGTGTCCCTGCCCGCGGCAGGGGGGTTGGAAGCGGGTGATGTTTAATGTCCCTTCCGAGCCGATCCCTCCTGGTCTCCTCGGGCTCCCACCCTGCTGGGTGGCTGGCGGAGCTGCCACACGTGCGGCGGGATGTGAAACGGGCTCCGGCACGTGCCGGATCCCCCGCGTGTCCCCGCGGCTCCCCCGCGTGTCACCGCACCCCGCCGCAGCGCCGGCCTCCCCCCGGAACCCCGCGGGGCTCCCGGAGCTCCAGAGCCGAACCGGGAGGGATGGCTCCGGCTGCAGCGCGGAGCTGATGCCCAAATCCCCTTTCAAGGGTTATTTAAGCAGTTTAGAGCGTGTAGCGGTTCAGCAGAGGCGTGTGGCAGCCCCGGAGCATCGCCCGCTGCCCGGCGGGGTAACCGCGGGGCTGGCCGCAGGTTAATTAACACATTAATTGGGAGGGGGCGAGGAGGTGCAGCCCGGGGGGCTTCGCACAGGGGTGGGGACAGCGGGCAGCTCGCCACGCTGGGGTGCGCAGGGAGAAGAGCTCGCTGGGGACACTGGGGGGTCGCTGGGACCCCCGGGCTGGCTGACCCCCCCCTGCCCCCCTTGCCCCCCGCCCCGTACCTGCGATTTCTCCTGCTGCCCATCCTCAAGTTGCGAGGCTCCTCCCACGGTTTTCCAACGCTCGTTCCCCATCGCGCCGCCAACTTCCAGCCCAAGTAAGTGCCCGGACCCCCACAAGTCCCCCCAAACCTCCTCCCCGGCGGCGCAGCCCCCGGCCCGCCCGCGCTGCCCGGCTGGCCGCGGCGGAGGACGGGCGGCGGCGGCGGCGGCGGAGGAGGAGGAGGAGGAGGGAGGGAGGAAGAGGAGGGAGGGAGGACACGGGCACGGACATGGGGGTGGATCTTCCATCCCCGCCCGCCCCGATCCCCCCCGGGGCTCCCCTGGCCCCGCTCCGGGCACCCCTCCCGGTGATGCCCTGGGGGATCTCCCCGCCCCCCCCAGCACCGCCTGCCGCCCCCCGGCCGCCCCAATCATTCCGGACCCGGAGCCGAACCCCTCACTCCGGCCCCGCGCTCCGCAGCTGCCCAGATGTGGCAGCACAGCTGGAGGAGCTGCAGCAGGTAAGGCAGGGGCTGGTACCAGCGGGATCGGGGGTGCTGCAGGGGCCCGGGGGGAGAGCGGGGGTGCCCCCGGAACCCGCTCACCCCCTTCCCAGAGATACGCCCCTACATCCTCCGGTGGAACACCCCAAGCTGGTGAGTGAGGCTCGGTGGGCAGGGACGGGCAGGGTGCTGGGCGGGGGAGGCGGAGGGGGCGGCATTGCCATCGCCACCCCCACCCCAAACCTTTGCGCCCAAGGGTAGCCAAAGTGCTGGGAGGCTTCTCTGAGCAAATCCCAGCGCACTCGGGGAAGCCGCTGCTGGCGGGGCGAGGCAGCAGCCGCCCCCACCCCTCCAGGGTCACAGCGATGCCCAAAACCAGCGTTCCCAGCCCAAAGCCGTGGTGCTGGCCCTGCGTGCCAGGGCTCCCTCCCGGCCTGATGTGCCGCCGCTCCCGTGTGGATGTGGTTTTCCTTCCCATAGCTTTGCCGCACCTCCCGTAAATCTTTTATTTGCCACTTGTCTGACCTGCGGGCAGGAGCGCTGCTGAGAGGTTCAGAGGAGCATCGTGAGAGCAGCGATGGCTCAGCGCTGCTTCAATCCGGCTGGGGGGAGGCTCAGTTCTCTCTCCAGGCTGAGAATCCCCCGGGAAACCTCCTGGGCAGCCCTGCCAGCCCCTTGTCCTGCAGCATGAGGCTGTCCCCTGGGCAGGTGGCACCCCCCAAAACCCCCTGGGTCTCTGTCCCTGGAGCTCAGCCCCGGTCGGCACCTCCCAGCAGCTCCTGTGTGGCTTCAGTGGGGCGGGGGCTGCCTGCCTGTGCGGGCAGGTGTGGCACTGGAGTGGCAGGTTGCATGTGTGGGGGACGAGGGGTTCAAGCAGCTTCTCTCCAGGGCACACAGCCTATTTTGGGAACAGCTGGATGTGTGCTGGGCTGGCAAATGGTGTGTGTGTGAGGTGTGTGTGTGTGTGAGGTGTGTTCATTGTCTCCCGGCCAGGTGCTTTGGCTGCAGAGGTGTTTTGTGTGGATTTACCGGGTGATGCTCGTGGCTGGTGGCCCAGCTCCTTCCCCATGGATGGTTTTCAAGGACTTCCCTTTGCAGCTGAGCCCGGCCAGCTCGGTGTGCCCACAGCAGCCGGGCTCAGCTCCCCGCTCCGCTCGCCCGTGCTGGGAGCGGGAGGCGCTGCCCCCGGGAAGCAGTTTAAGCTGAACTCCAAACAATAAAAACTTATCATTAAAAAGAAATGCATCTTGGCTTCATGCGGCCTGGCAGCGCGGGGAGGAGTGATTCAGTGGCTTGTCAGCCCTGGGTGTTAGGCACGCCGAGCTGCACAACTGGACACTCTCCAAGTCCAGCAACTCATTTGCTGCAGATGGAGCCGGGACCGTGCAGCGGGCTGACGGTTCATTTGCAATCCAACACACCTTGACAGAACCCACAGCCGAACGGCGGAGGCGGTGCGGGATGGGATGGGATGCCCGGGCTGTGCCACCGCACCCTGGCACTGGGCTGCCTGCGAGCTGTGGGGTCTGTCTCGGTCCCAGGGCCCCCCCAGGTGCCGGTGTCCCGGGGGTGCGGTGGGGTGGCAGCTCTGGACCCCCTGGCAGAGGGGTCCGTGTTTTTGGGAGCTTGAGCGATGCTCAGGGCCTAGCAGGGACGCTGGCCTGGCTCATCACTGACTTACGCGGCCGTGTCACCTCCTGTCACAGGGGTCGGCTGTAGATGTGGAACTGGGACATGGGAAGGGTGTCCACGGCCAGATGAGCTCCAGGGCCCCACAGCCCCGGGCCCAGCTCCACAGGCTGTGTCCGGAGGAATTGGGGGCTCAGGGTGCCCCTTGCCTTGGGCACCGATGGACACAGACCCTGCCCCGGGGCTGACAGGGGAGGGGGTGACAAGGGGGGTCTGCCAACAGCCCAGCACGGATCGATAGGCATCGGAGAGGATGATTCATGTCTCAGGCTGTGGCCCGAGGGCAAAAACGGGGAGAGGTTTGATGTGAGGATGCCGGGAGGCTGCGGGTCCTGCCGAGGCCGGCTCTGCCCGCACTGCCCCGAGGTCCCGGCTTGGCCTGGGGGAAGAAAACGACTGAAGCAACACAGGATCAGACCCGAGCTCTGAGCAGAGTCTTTTAAAACACTTCAGACACCCTCCTCTAGGCTGTGGTCCCAGGCAGCGAGCAGAGTTGCAGTGGGGGTGTCAGCGCTGTGCCCCCCGTGGGGACAGGACACTGCAGAGAGTGGGACACGAGGGTGGCACTTTACCCTCACTTGGTGCGCATCCCCAGGCTGCCAGGGCCAGAGCCGGTGAGAACACCCATGGGTCCAGCCTGGAGCACCAGGACTGGGGGAAAGGCTGGGGCGGGGGGACACCGAGCCCTCCCCCGGGAGCAGCGTGTGCTTTCCTCGGCAGGCAGCCAGGGGAGGCAGAGCCGTCGCTGCACACGCACGGCGTCAGACATCATCATCATATTAATAATGAAAGGGCAGCTCCTTCAAAGCTCTTCGTCCCCGCGCCGGCGAGAGCGCAGAATGCAGAGGAGGAGCGTGAGCCTCATCCCAAGCAGCCGTGGGAGAGCCCGGATGGTCCTTCGCTGGTCCTTCGCTGGTCCTTCGCTGGTCCTTTGCTGGTCCCTCGCTGGTCCTTCGCCAGGCACTGACCCGCAGTGACAAAATCCTGCCCTGGTCCCCGCCGGCTGCTCTCCCTGCTGGGAGTTTGGCTGCTCTGGGGGTCCCTGCACAGGAGCAGGGCAGCCCAAGGTGCCCCCAGCTCCTGCTCCCAGCACTGCCCTGTCCCCCTCGTTCGGCAGGAGGGGACGTTCTGGCTGTCCCAAGGGCTGAGTGCTCTGCCCATCGCTGGGTGACACGGCAGGACACCGCTCGCTGTGTCAGGGCCTTTCTTCCACAGGAGCAATCGATGGCTCAGACAATGAGACAAACCACCCACAAAGAGGTCTTGGGCTGCAGCCCACACAGGGTCAGTGGCATCACTTCTGTTCTTCTCCCTGCAGTATATTTGGGTTTCCAAAACCCCTCCTTTAACACCCCCATTTTGTCTAGAGCACCTCCAAGCCTGGTTGTACTTTGTGGGGGTCTCAGCAGGACCAGACCAGGGCTGAGCAACTTTTCTCCTCTCTCCCCTCTGCCAAACCCTCTCCTCCACTTTTGCCCTTTTTGCTGCAGATGCCATGGTCTGGGGAGGAGAGAATGGAGCCCTCTGTGCCAGGTGGAGACGGAGCACCCCACACCCACCCTGTTCCCATCCCAATCCCACCCCATGCCCACATACTCTCCCTCGCTCCCCGAGTGTTTCAGAGGGTCCCACCCTGTCTCAGAGGGGTGAGTGCTGTTCTTCCTTCCCAGCCCTTTCTCAAGCTTTTTTTCCCCTCCTCCCTCCAAACACAACAAAAGCCCCAAATCCCCCGCAAATGAGAAACCTCTTTTTGTTCCTCTTTCCCCTTTGCTTTCTGCCACGGCAGAGTATTGATTGGAACTGATGTGCTGTAATCCTCTGTTTCTGTGAAAAGTTGGCATCCCAGAGTCCCTGGAGGGGCTGGATCCTGCCCCGGTGTGGGTTTTGCTCCTCTGCCAGGCTTGTGGATAGCAGGAAAGCTGCATCTATCCCCATCCCATCCCATCCCATCCCATCCCATCCCATCCCATCCCATCCCATCCCGTCCCACCCCTCTGTCCTGTCCTGTTCCATCCCTACACCTGGTGAGAGGGTCATCATGAGCAGCTGATGGGTGGGAAAAGGCTCTGGTTTGGAGCAGAGCCAGGTCAGACCCCACTGGGATGGATTTCCAGGGTGCTGGGCTTCTGAAGGAGCTCTCCTGCCCTTTTGGGCATGGTGACAGGGGGTGCTGATGAGAGGGGCTGGTTGTGGGGGTCAGCAGGGATCTCCAGAGAGGAAAAATTTGGTTTCCTGACAGCCAAGGAGGGCTGTGGAGAGATAGGGCTGACCCCAGCCTGAGAGGGGCTCACTGTGGGGTGCACAGCTGTCTCTGTGGGGCGCACAGCTGTCTCTGTGGGGCACACAGATGTCTCTGTGGGGCACACAGCTGTCTCTGTGGGTCTGAGCCCTGGCTGGAGACCCCCCTGTGCCCAACCACCCACCCAACTCCACCGTGCTGCCGCTCCATCTGCGCTTAATGATGGCAAATGGGCTGCAGAGCTGGGAAGTCAGGGGAAAGAAACCCGGCCAAAAATCGCCAAAAAACACAGGGAAGATTTTAATTTAAAACCTTTTCCCACATGGAGAGCAGCAGCCTGGGCCATCTGGAGGAGCATATGCAGGTGAGGGGGGGCAGTGGGGCCTCCTCCAGCTCCCCTTGCTCTCGGCAGCCTCCAGAAAGGGCTTTGGGCTGGTGAAAACCAACGCAGGGCAGACCTGGGTACCCCAATCCCAAACATCAGCCTGGGGGAGCCCAGCTTTCCCTCCTGAGCTACCAATACCTCTCTGCTTAATTGCTGTATTTGCTGCGAAAGTGATGATGAATCCCAAAGCAAACTACAATAGCAGCTGAGTTTATTGCGAGAGATTAATTCAGCGGTTTAATCAAAACCACGGGAGCAGGATGGGAAAGCATCCGTGTGGGGCTGGGAGGAGGGGGTCAGGGTCAGCTCTGCTCAGCACCCACATCCACCCCTAGCCCCTGCAGTCAACGATGCCCAAATTAGCAGATTTACTCCTCAGAGGACTTCTCCATTGGCTGAGCATCACATCCAGCATCCCAAAGCCCCAAGTCTCCTAGCAACTCCCCAGCTCTGCCTGTGCCCACCCATTAACCCCTTCCCAAGCCCCCCCCACGCTGTGTGGAACACCCGGTGCTTCGAAGGCGTCGCTGCCACACTTGGGTGGGAGCAGGGATTTATGCAACAAATAAATCTGCAGGATGCTGGAAGGAAGCTCAGGATGCTCGGCTGGGTGGGAGAACAGGGCTGGTTAGCCAAGATTCAGTGTTTGATTCCAGGTGGCACGGAGAAACCCACAGGTTTGTGGATTGGTGGTTTGGTTTCTAAATGTCACGTTGGTTTTGAAGGTTTTATCCTCCTGGCTTGTGGAGATGCTGGGGAGAGGTCAGGGAACCCCCAAATCATGGCCAGCCCGTGCAGCTCCCAGCTGGCATTGGCATCAGGAGAGGCTGAGCACGAGCCAGCCTCTTCCTCTGATTTCAACAGTAAATCAATGACACAGTTTCCTTCAGGATAGGATGGAAAGGAAATTTTCAAGGAAAATGGCCTTGAAAGTGTGAAATCACAGCAGGACATGGTGTGATGGCCAGGCCTGGGCTGAAGGAAGTGGGGCTGCTCCGTGATGATTTTTTCAGATGGGATGTCCAATACTTCCCTGGTTTTGCCTTTAGGCATCAGAAAGCAGGAAAGCAGGGCTGGAAAAAATAGTGGGTTTTATGGTTGAAAAATAACCGTTGACATGGAAAAAAAGCCAAACAAGTTTGTTTTGGTTTTTGGGTTTTTCTTAATATATATAGATTGGGAAATGTATCCAAAGATCACGTGCCACTGAAAAGGATAAATCACTTCTCTCACTTTAATGTGCTTTGTTGGGTTTTATCAGAAACATTGTCATAAAATTACCAAATTGAAATTTTAAATGGGGGGAGAGAGGGGATATCTCGAGGGTTCGTTCTTGCTTCTCTTTTCTTATTGCCAAATAAAATACAATTAAAGCAACATTTCCTATGCCAGCCAGCATAGCTAGCATCGCTTTTCTGACGGCACTTTTTTCTGTCAGCCAATGAAAATAAATGATGCAGGATTACCAGGGAGCATCCAGCCTGGAGCAGCAGGCATTCCAGTTCCAAACAGAAGGATTTTATCCCCGCGGGAAGTGGAAATCTCCAGGGATGCTTCCCACCGAGCTCTCCGTGCCGCCTGGAGCGAGGCTTTGTTTTCCCTTTGCTCTCCCAGTTCCCACCAGTGCTTCCCAGTCTAACCCAGTCCTTGGCACAGCCGCTATCTGGGAGTGCCAAATTAACTCGGGACCCCCTGCAGCACTTTTTGGGGTGACCCCAGTGAGGTCACCGTGGGCCTGGTCCCCCGTGGGGCTCATTCCCGTGCCAGGGGCTCATTCCTGTGCCAGGGGCTACTGTGGCTCAGCTGCTGCCTGCACCGAAATCCCCGTGGTAATTGGATGAGGGCACCGGTTTCCATGAGAATATTAAATCAGAGCCCCGGCCCCAGTCCAGGGCGACACGCCTGGGGATATAAAGACACGGTAGATC